TGCTGGAATCCTTACACATGCAAGTTTCAACTTTGGGTTTGGGATCAGCAGTCTTTGTCTCTGGCTACAACAGAGAAGGGGATCTTTTAGGGTAGTCCTGGAAGCTTTCTGCTCCCTTTCCCAAACAGGGCATGATGTTATAAAATCATGAGTAATAGATTCATTCAAAATGCAAGGAAGAGCAATGGATTTTCATGTAACAGAATGAAAATTTCCATGAGCTCCTCCACGCAAGGTGCTATTTAGAAATAACTGAGAAATGGATAATTTGTTTTGTCAGTGATACATGTCAACACATTGTACAAATTGACTGATAAAAATTAAGATTCTATAGGGTATTCTGTATCAGGTACTCAGAGGATAAGCTCTCATGTCACCACAGATTCACTAATTTTGGAATAATATGAGCTCAACCGAGTCACTTATGCTCTAAAATCCTCCCTTTATTCGTGCATAAAATAAAACTACTTATTTACAGGCTATTATCTTACTGAAATAGAAAACATATGTGATAAGTAGAGTGCCTGAACCTCAATAAAATTATTTTATTATATTTGTATTTCCCAGACTGAAAAGGCTGAATAGAGATTTGAAAAAACATTGTACACATTCTCTTTACATTTCTTTGAAAAAGGACCACCTACAGGTAACTAAAAAATTGTTTGATGACCATCTATTTTTTCAAGCTTTTTCCATCTGAATAATTTACCTCTAATTTATATGCTAGCTACCAGGAGATCTCTTTCCCAGGATACTGTATATGGGCATCTCTGTCACTTACTCCGAAGGCTCTATGGGGCAGCTTTTTACCAGAAAAGGGCTTTCTGGGAAGAAAAGAAGGCAACAAAAGCAGGTGTAATGACAACACTGATGGGTCTAATTTTAGGAGGGAAAAGTGCTATAACATAAATATGAAAATTGAAAATTGTACAAAGGTTGCAGTGGAAGCAAATGCCTGCCCCAGGGAGGGCTGGGGCTGCAGGTCCAGCTGCAGTTTGGGTGCAGGCTGCAGATCACCAGGGAGCACTGTGCCTCCACCGCACACAGGTAGGTGGCTGAGTCTTCCAGTTGGGAGGCCGTGATGTGGAGGGTGCTGGACCGTTCCTTAGCATTCACTGTGCAGTTTAACCTTCCACTCTGCTTCATCCCCGAGGCTATGAGAAACAGCGGGGTGAGGCCACCGCCCCCGGGATTCTGCCGGAACCACTGCACGTTGTTCACTGTGCTAGAAAAATTGCACCTCAGAGTAGAGCTGGCTCCCTCCTGGAGGCTCAGGGCTGAAGGGTTCTGTTCCACCTCCATCCCTCTCACCCCTGCGTGGGAAGAGAAAAACAAACACAAATGATACCACTGGGGAGTCACCAACGCAGTTTTCAAACCTGCAAAAAATCCCAAGAAACACCTCTGCAGATGTAGGAACCTCTAGGAGCTCTGTGTTAGCTCCCCCCTACCTACTGTAGACTGTAGACGCCACCCGAGTACCCATGAGGAATGCCCCCACTCACAGGAAACATGGACCCACAGAAGCCCCAGCAGAGCTTGCCAGTGTCTCTTCATGTTTCTTTTTCTAGTTGATGAGTTACCCTCTGCCTACTGTGCAGAGTTTAGACTCTTGGTTCCAGAATAATTGTGTCTTACAGTCAATCCGTTCCACCAGAATCACTGAGCACAAATCACACCTCAGCTCTGTCATTCACGGAACTCAAGACTCCACCCACAGTGACCCAGTGACACTACACAGTAATCTCTCCAAAACTGTACTTGCCAATTTTGCAGGGAGGTAAGGGCAGTATTTCCAATATAGGAGGATAAGAGGGGTTTTTTTCTTAAAACACTTTATGTAAGAAATTTGTGGGTTTGTGTATGAGGAAAGGTGAATGATATTTCTAGTAGAGTCAGGGCCTAAAGGTGGTTACCCAGAACCTTGAAGACATAGGAAAGAGTGACTCCAGTCCCAAAATTACGTAGTTTGACAATGTGAGAATTCACTTATAAAAAATATTGATAAAGGAAAACTATCTGATAGTATGCCTTGTCTTACAGAAGTAAATACAACTTCTTGAAATCAAGAGAGTTCTAGAAACTAAGACAGACAGTCACCATCTGCATAGAAAATGATTCCAACTCGAAGTTGGTTGGTTTAAAATAGAATGTAGTATACTGTCTTCTCTGAGATAACTTTCAAATCTCCAGTCTCCTGTGCAATTCATGGACCCTGCTCATCCACACAGTTGAGTCTGGCCAGGCCACACGTTGCTGGTCAAAGTCAATATTGTCCTCTCTCTTTCCTTCTATTTTTGTCCTTATTTATTTTTTCCTCTCTTCTTCTTCTCTTCATTCTTGTTCCTTCCACCCTCAGCCAAGATACATGAAAAGGTAAGGTAGCTGAGATATTGAAATTATTTCAAGGCCAGTAAATTTGGGGAGTTTTATTCATAACAATTGACAACAGGTAATGGGATGTTTTCTGTTGCGTTTCATGGTCACATGCCCAGAAATAATCCTATCCTGGTATCTGTGAAGAATTATGTGCATAGTGGATTTCTAGAGACATGGCCTCCAGATGTATGAAGTTGATATGCAATGGCAGAACCTAAAGCCTGAGATCAACTTTACACAAACCCTGCCCCTCCTCCCCACCTTTGCTATCTATAGTTGGACTGGCTCACACGATTTCTGTTCTCCCTTTAACTGTTTAACCTTGGACCATCAGAAAGTCTTTGTTTCTTCTAAAGCCCCGACTGCCCCCTAGAGGACTGAAGCCGTCAGGAGAGACCCCTTCAGATCAAGCCACTCAGCAGACACAGACCCCCAGGCCCGTTTATGCCAAGCTTCTTTATGAAGGAAATGCAAGATGGTCAGATAAGAAGATACCTGCTTAGATTGGGGATTAGAAGTGAACCTAATCCTACCTTTAAAATGCTATATCATGGAAATTAATATCAGAAAATAATTTGGTGGGGCGCCTGGGTGGCTCAGTCGTTAAGCGTCTGCCTTCCGCTCAGGTCATGATCTCAGGGTCCTGGGATCGAGCCCCGCATCGGGCTCCCTGCTCAGCGGGAAGCCTGCTTCCCCCTCTCCCACTCCCGCTGCTTCTGTTCCCTCTCTCACTGTGTCTCTCTCTGTCAAATAAATAAAAAAATCTTAAAAAAAATAATTTGGTAAATCTCACCTTGTGCAAGCTTTTGATTTCTTTACCTTAGTTTAAAAGAAATCCATAAATATTCATTGAGCTCTTAGTTTCAATGGGGTAATATCTTAGATGTTCAGAATATGTAAAAATGTAATTCAGTGTTATTCAGCCATAAAAAAGAATGAAATCTTGCCATTTGCAATAACATGAATGGAGCTAGAGAGTATAACACTGAGGGAAATAAGTCAGTCAGAGAAAGACAACTACCATACGATGTCACTCACGTGGAATTTAAGAAACAAACCAAAGAAGCAAAGGAAAAATATGGGATAGACAGAGATAAATGAAATAACAGACTCTTTTTTTTTTTTAAAGATTTTATTTATTTGAGAGAAAGAGCACATGAGAGGGGAGAAGATCAGAGGGAGAAGCAGACTCCCTGCCGAGCAGGGAGCCCGATGCGGGACTCGATCCCGGGACTCCAGGATCATGACCTGAGCCGAAGGCAGTGGCTTAACCAACTGAGCCACCCAGGCGCCCTAACAGACTCTTAATTAAACAGAACAAACTGATGCTTAAGAGGGAGAGGGCTCGGGGATGGGTTAAATAGGCGAGGAGATGAAGGAGTGCCCTTGTCCTGATGAGCACTGGGTGTTCTGTGGAAGTGTCGAATCACTGGGTTGTACACCTGAAACTACTCTAACACTGTATGCTAACTAACTGGAAATAAAAGTAAAAGAATAAACAAATAAATAAAATATATAAAAGTGGAAACATATTCATTTACAGTTTACAGGGGAAGACAAAAATCCACACAGCTATAAGACAGTGAAAGAGTAGGACCCTAAGAGGAGTGAAAACTAAAACCTGTGTGACCCGAGAGGACGGAGAAATAAACAGACGTGAGCTCCTTGGACAAAATCTTATGAAGAAGGTGATCAGTCTCTCCTTTCCACATTTTGGTGACAAGAATAGAGGATAATATGGATAAACCTTTATAATGACTTTTATGGCTTAATATTACTTTTAACAAAGGAGGAATTTGTGAATATATGAATGATTAAAAGTAATAAAACATTACCTATAGAGTAAAATCCCTTTTGACTTTCACTCCCAATTCTAACCCTTTTGTCACTTATTACCCTATTTCTTTGTTCATCTTGACAATTTGGAGTGGATGTTTCCAGGTGTTTTACTAGATTTTTACCACTCCAAGATATATAGCATTTTATTTATACTTTATTATAATACAAATATACATTCTGGGTATACCTTTCTGTAACTTGCTTTATAAACTCAATAGTAAATCTTGTAGGTCTTACTATGTTAACCCATATACACCTTGTTCCATTATATTCCATATTGTGAATATGCTCACATTTATACATCCTTTCCTCTACTGATTAAAGCCTAAGATGATTTATTTCATCTCTGAAAAACTACAACAATAAACCTTTTTAAGCATTCTCACCTGAACACCTATATTCTCGGAATAGAGACTAGGAAGAACTGAAGGAATAAGCCAAGAGGCTAGCAAGTGAAAATTACTCCAAGTGAAGGAAAGTAGAGAAGTTGAGGAAGAATGGAGAGAATTCATATTCTGATTATTGTGTTGGAAGGTTTTCTTTTTCTGTTATTTTTCTAATGATCATTGCAATTCTAATTTTTCTGCTCAACTGATAAACTTTTTCTGAAATTCTGTCCATATACAGGGATACTGTATAGTTTGCACCATCTCACTTGAGCTCTTACTGTCAGAAAGCCAACTGATCTATTTAACTGGCCAGGACATGAGCCACTTCCTCCATTCTGTTTCTGCCCACACCCTTTCATGTTGAATATCAGCCTGTGTCTACCACCTGATTCACTAGAAAAGAAAGCAGGGCAGAGGTCCCTGGCCTCTCTTTTCCTTGCTCGGGTTCATGTGTTCATCCTCCTTTCTTCCCTTCCCTTCTTTCTCTACTAAATCCTGGTTTGGGGCTGAAGCTCTCCCATCACCACTCTTGCCATACCCAGTCAGGAAGGCATGGGCAGATGCTGTGTCCTCAGGCACACCATGTGTCTCTAAAAGTGTCATAGACACAGCAACACCCACCACGGTTCCCTGAACAACTTGTGGGGCCGGGCATTCACTGCAAGGATGAGCAAGTGACCACTTCATTGTTATGTGGTTTTACCTTGAACTCTTGGCATCAAACTGTTCTCAATGTCACTAAGGAACACCTGGGTTTGGGGAATGTTACTTCTGTTTCCTATGCTCTAGTACTTTCTGTGATTTTTGGATCAAGTAGACACTGAGCGATGAACAACCACAGACTATGCTGGAACCAGAGTGGATCAGTCAAGAGATGCTCAGGATCCAAGCCCCTGTTCTGCTCAGAGTTTGTGCTCAGCTCCCCCCCCACCCCGTCACTGTGTCATTCATGGCACAGTAATACACAGTTGAATCTGACACTTGCACTGAGCCTTTCTTCAGGTGGAAGGATTTGGATTTGCTGTCCAAAGTGGCTTCAAAGCCTTTGTTGCTTTTCTTCTCCTGGTCCCTCGAGGCTTTCAGGAGGATCTGTGGACCTTCTTCTGGATACTGGACAAACCAGAAAACAGTGAAGGACCATGTTGTTGAAAAAGTACAGTTCATAGTCAGAGAAGTCTCTTCTGAGAGGGTCACTTGGCCTTCCATCTGGGTAACTGAGTCTCCATGGGTTTGTCCTGAGGATAAAGAAAAGTGACCTGCATCACCTTGGGCAAAAAGCTCTTGGATAAAATTATAACTAAAAGTTTTACAGGCACAATGGAAGAAAGAATCCAAGTTTTAAGAGGCATTTTACTTACCAAGCATTAAGAGTACCACAGACACGAAGCCTGGAGAACACGTCATCTCTGGAGTGTCACCTAAATAATGCTCTTCAATCTTACCATGAAGAAACATTGGAGTGACAGAGAAATGATCAATGCAAGTCCACATTTCACACAGGAAATGTGATTGTGGTAGGAAGCTGCACCCCCTGGTGGACAGGGACTGAAATGGGTGTATGTTGGCCAGAGGCCTCCCAAAGTCAGTCATCTGTGTCATCCCTGACTTCGTGAGGCACATGTCAGTCTTCAGGTGGCCTTGGAACTCTGAACAACAGCAATCCTGACCTTTCAGGTCTATTTTGTTCTTAAGACACTACCTGATATGGAAGTTCTTTAACACAGCATCCCAGGGCATCTCTGTAGGTGGGAGGATGACAATCTTCTAAAGCATTTTACTACAGTGCTTTATATTCTCATGTATCCATGTGGACCCGCCTATAACCACTGACTGCCAGAAAAGGGGCTAGGAGTTGAATACGGAAAAAGTAATAGGAAGTCAAGTCATTGCTGAGTGATTCTGTCTCTTTTCAGCACTGTGCCCCAATATTTAGAACTGTGACTGTCATGTTCAGCACTCACTAAATATTTGTTAATTTAAACAAATTAACAAATGGCCTTTACTTGAAATACAGTATTTATGTGGTCCTAAAATAATACCAATTGTAATGAATACTATCTTTTTAATAAAAGCATTTCAGAAGAAAAATCATAGCATTTAATAGTCAAATATTTTAGTAGTCAAATATTCCTAAATTTCAGAATAATTAAAAAGTGAAAAATAGGAACTCTAGACAGAAGAATCACCATAAATGAAGTTGTCAAATCCCTATAGAAAGACCTGAGATTCTTCCTTATGTTCTCACTGTTTTGTTGACTCCCACATAAGGTGACTAGTGTCTGTGAATCAGGCAACAAATATTAATGCTATACTCTTACAGGTTTTAGCCTCAAGGATACTTTCCATTACCATGCCTCTGTTACATTTTGTTGCCAAGATTTAATAAAAAAAAAAAATTCCCCCTAAGGTAAGAAATCAAGTTTATGAAGATAAAGTTCTGGAGAGGGACATTTCTTCTCTAAAGCCATGTAAACATCATCTTTAGACACAGAGATGGAAGCTTCTCTCAAGCTGTTTCGTGGAGGCCACTCTCTATAGATTCAGATCACGGAGCTTCATGAGTCCAGAGCCAACATGGGAACGCTTTCCCAGATGCAGAGTTAAGTAAGAAATTCAGGCCTGGAAACACTTTAGGTTCATGTATCCCTTCACTTCCCCTCCACCTTCCAAATCACATTGTCAGTACTGCCACAAAACTATGCTGAAAGGAATTTGGAACAAGCCCCTACAAACTTGTATTCAAATATGCAGGGAGAATCCCATAGAGGTGGGATGATGCTGGTTGAAAATAAACAGGGGGCGACTGGGTGGCCCAGTTGGTTGAGCTTCGGGCTTTTGATTTTGACTGGGGTCATGATCTCAGGGTCATCGAATCAAACCCTGCATGGGGCTCTGCACTCATCAGGCATCTGCTCCAAATTCTCTCCCTCTCCCTTTTCCTCCCTCTCTGTCCCTGCTCCTCTGGTGCTTCCACGCATTCATACTCTTTCTCTCTCAAATGAGTAAATAAATAAAATCTTTTTTAAAAAGAAAAAAGAAAGTAAACAGCAAAGCACATGGATGCAGAAAGTCATTATCTATAACTTTAAAAAGAAAACAACCTTCAGGCCAATGAAGGCCTACAGGAGAAGTATTTTGAATTTTGGGTCACACAAGAAAACTTGAACTACAGTGAGGAAAGATAAAGATAAATTGGTGGAAGCATTTTCAGAATTTGTACTGCATATATCTCCATGAAATGTGATGGACCACATACATTACAAATTGCCCTCTAAGGGATAGACTAAAACTCTCCAAAAACAACCAAAATTTTTCTATCAGCTGGCCGAGTAAATGTGAAATATTATTAATTTCTCCTCCAATTCAACTCTAATACCTTCTTCAATGAAGTGAATCTCATCATTGTGCTTCTGTCATTCAAGAAGTGTCCTGTCCAGGACATATCTTTTGGAAACTCATGGAAAAAATTCCTAGTTAATAGATTTTTAATAATCTTATCTTAAACATTGAAAGAGACAATACCAGACTGGTCATGCAATTAGTACACCAGGCCCCTTTATAAAATCCAATCATTTAGCAGAAACAAAATTAATTCAAGTGGCTAAACTACTGAATATCTCTTGGCCATGTCAACTGACAAAAATTGATGTAGCTGGTGTTAGTCAATATGTTTTTAATGTAGTTCACAGGTACTAGTGCCTGGTGCATGTTAGCCTTATCCCAGGTGGCCCTGCATCCTACCCTCAAAAAGCCCTATGCTGTCTTACCATAAATTCCTCACTGTAGCCCACATCGCTCAGATGTCCCAACCCATACTTATTCCAGCATCACAAACTGAACTAGATAAGAAAACCCCTGACACTTTCCTTTCATCCAGGCACAGATTGCTCTCCTGGCCTTTCATTTATTCACCTTTACAGGACCTTAACCTTTGGTGCGCTGAACAAAATCCCAGAAAAAGGTTGCCATTGAGACCTGTGAAATGACTTTATTAAGTGCTATTTATTACCACTTCAGCAAATAAAGTAAAAGAAATGGATCCTTGGTTACATGTTCATGAACTAGTATGATATCATGCACCCTTCACTAACAAAAATTGAAAAAATTATTCATTTAGAGATCTTAAACTGAGGTTCTCTAAAGAATCAGCAGAAGCAGACAGTCCACAGATGAGTGCATATGGAAGATCCTAGAAATAAGCATGTAATTGCATGAAGCAGACAGATCCACCAAGGCCAGTAGAAGAGAATTCTCCTAGATGATTGGAACCACAGATTTTAATACTTTCCTTGGCATTCTTTTGAGGTTATTTTTATCCTTTTAGAGGTACTTTCCCACTTGAATGTGAAAATGTTATGTTTCTGATTATCGTGACTTTGTTCTCTTACTAATAAAATAACTTGCATGCATATAGCCTTTATTTGACATAATACCCATCCTAGTGCTATAGCTCAGTTCTGGATAGACACTGCTAGTGCAAAAATGTTTAAGAATTATTGGATATGTTATTTCATATCAACTACTGGAAAAGCCAAATAATAACCATACCCTAATTGGTACTGCTAGAGTGAATCCTCATTAATTAAATTACCCTTAAAGTGTGAGAAAATATATATTGATAAAAATTTAGGATAGAGTTTGTACAACTAACTTGTGTATAGAACGTGACTCAACTTGATTATATGAGATGATCCAACCTTCAACACCAATTCTGCAATATCAATTGCCAAATATATTTTGTAGAACTATAAATCAAGCCTCTAAAGGAATTCAAACACTTGAAATGATGAGCTATTCCTATGAAATAACTTCAAAGTTCAAAAGCTCAGGGGTAGGAAACACTGAGAGTGGAGATAGAGGTGAGGTCATGCGTGTGCCCTGTGGCACGTGCTTCCTCCCACCAAGACACATGGTTCTCAAAAGTTTATGGGTTGTATGCTCCTGTTAAAATGACATTCTTGAAAACACAAAATAAGAATAGACCAATGTTTGCAAGGAGTGGGGAATATGGAAGCGTGAGATGGCATTAGAATAGCACAAGGGAGTTTTGGGGAGCAATAAAACTTTCTGTATCATGATCCTATATGGTTACTGGTTATATACAATGTACTAAAATTAAAAATTCACAGAACTGTACACCAAAAATAGTCAATTTTTCCTAACAATTTATTTAAAATAAAAAATTTAAACACTGGGATCAAAATGGCAAAATAGAAATTTTCTATCATCTCCGCTCTCCCCCGAAAAAAACCACTGATTTTCCATGTCACACATTAAACTAAAAACAGTGCCTATGAAGAAGTCCAGCAGAGAATACATAACACACTGTGGAACATCAACAACAACAAAAAATTCTGATTTTGACAGATTAAGGATGGCATGAAGAACAATTTCACTTTACCTTCATCACTCTTGCCCATTGGCACAACTCCGAGCCAAGAGAAACCTTCCAGCCTGAGATTTCCCCATAGAGGGAAGTGAGAACATATGAGTGAACACATGGCCCTCCAGCACTGGAGGATGTTCCCAAAGAGAACCCTCTTTCTAGTCCCATCCAGGATACTGAGGTGTACTGCTCACTGGGGAGTGGGGTGCTCCTAGCAGAACAGAGCTCTTGGAGGGCAATAAACCAACAAGGACCCTACAAACCACAGCACAGCCTCCATTAGGAATCTGCCCATGAGCCACTGCAGATGGCCTGCATGCAGACCCCCACAAATGGTCCATGGGCACACACAACACTCAGTTCCTCATCCATATATCACCCAACCTACAGCCTGTCACCAGCATACAAAAGGGGTTAACAAGAGAGAGCTTCTGTAAGCAGCAAGCGAGCATGTGCAGAAAGCAACCCCACTCTCCTGGATTGGGAGAAATCACACATATGCAGTCAGCACCATCCTAGAGAAAGCAAACAAAAGGGAGACTCTCAGCACCTAGTCTGGCTTCACAGGATCAAGAGAAGACCTTAAAGGTTGTACCACATTGTCTCAGGAAGTAGGAAACAAATAGCCAACCATGCTGAAGGTTTAAAGCCTGAATGTGTCTGGATCTGAGCTATGTACTCATCGCACACTCTGGCTAAAGCACTTGTTTTCTTCCACTGCATCAGTTCTCATCTAAGTATGAGCAAGCATTCAAACCTGTAGGAACTGCACCCTCTCTGCCACTTCTAACTTGATTTGAGAAGAAATAAACTAATAATAGAGAAACATGCTTCCTTCTGACTCCATCATCAGTCTTGGAGGAAATGGACCAATCAAGAGTCATCTTCCTTCTACAGTACAGGAGCTGGTGGTACAAGGAGGGAAAGAATCAAGCCCGTTGACATGTTGGGCTACAGTACTAACCTCCTTTGGTCAGATGTGATAAACTGAATTTAGTCTGAGGACTTTCCCAGCAAGAGAAAGCCAGTTACCAAATACCTAGCAATCATAACTCAGCTAAGAGGAAGCACTGTCCCTGTAACAGTTGCCAATTATGTCCATCGTTAGTTACGAAGACTTGGAGGGACT